AGAAGTAGGATCCCCTCCAATCCAAAATCGGATTGGAGGGTACTGTTTGGGTCAGTGAGGCCCACCACGAGTCCCGTTTCTATGATCTAAACATTTCATTTTGTTGGGCGATTCGTGCATTTCATCCGTAAAAGAAATTAAGTCGGTCCGACAATTGTAACTTGTTTAATTTTTCAATAAAAGAATAGAAAACAATTATGTTTCTAAAAATAAACTATACATTTTTTTAGTGACAAATGCAACAAATTAAATAAGTTACAATTATCGAATTGATTTAAATTTTTTTGTGAATGAAATAGACGAAATGCCTGACAAAATAAACTATTCAGATTATCGAAACAGGACCCGTGAGGGCCCCTACGGGTTTAAACAGCGCCCTTCAGTCTAAAATCTAAATTGGAAGAGATCCTAATCCGAGATGAAAAACCAATCCTTGCCTTAATAAGACTTATCAGGGATGGATGGAGTAGAGAGAAATTGGCATCCCTAATCACAGTTTGGTGATAGTATTATAGCCAAAAACAGAAGTGACTATGAGAAAACTTTATATTGAATTTGTTATATGGTTTTAAAATTAACGAAAGAGTTTGACAAGTTCCTAATTTGTGGTGCTTCATGGTTGCAGATCCAAAGTAAATTAGCTAAGTTGGCAAGTAATGAAACAGAAATTGATATTGGGACCTTTAACACCTCGCAATTGTGGAAAAATACCCACAAGTATTATAGATATGTTGGTTCTCTCACCACTCCTCCATGCACTGAGAATGTTACCTGGCATGTCTTGGGCGAGGTACTAGCTAGTTCATTTCATAAAAAAAAATTCATTTGCTTCTTCTAAATAATTAGAATATTTTATTTTCTTAAAAAGAACGAAGGAAATACTAGTATAATAATAAAATCTTTGTGTTTTCATCAAAAATACACTAGAATATGACAAAACACACCAACACGCAGTGGAATATATAGTTACTCCTAATATATATAATAATATTATTGTAACTATCCAAGTAAATTTTTAGATCTTATTTTGTTGGGATTGTACGTTCTTTTTCAGAATCTTTTACACTTGTATTAATATTTAATAAAATTAAGTCATTAGACAATACTTAATAGTAATCTTTTATATGGATGACTATATAAATCTCAATATGTTTAATTAAGGGGCAATTACACCTCAATGGATTTTTCAATAAATAATTATGTATTAATGACAAATATTACAATCATAATTATTAATATATATAAAATTTGTAATTATTTTTTGATAATACTACTTATTTGATATTTCCCCTTTAATTAATCAATTATTAGATTTTTACACATTTTGACAGATTTCAAATCTGTTTCCAAACATTTTTATGTATTTTTAAGTTCTTTTTTATTACTTTTAAAACATTTACGAAATGAAAATCTTTATCCTTGTACAAAATGCAGGAGAGATCAATATCTAAAGACCAAATAAATGCTTTGAAGGCTCCATTGCTACCAACATGTAAGAATAATTACAGACCTGTGCAGCCATTATATGGACGACAAGTTGCGTTATTCGATGATAATAATTTATACGAGTGTTGACGAAGACAAGTCACTATGAGATTCCACAATGGCATAGTTAAAACAGTACCTTATATGATAAAAAATGATAAAAGCAGGACCGGAAAATGTGTATTAAGTTGTATTAAAAGTTTGTTAATTTTAAAGAGTGATTGGTGGTGCAAATTGCAGTAGATGTGTTAAGGTGTGTGTTAAATATATATATAAACAATAAATAAAATAAATAATAATTGAAAAGTGTAGTGGGCCCCACCCCACTGCACTATCAATGCCCCTCTCTCTCTTTCTCTTCTCTTTTTTCTGCTTGTTCACTTAGCATCTAGCACTAAAAACAAAGTCGGTTAGCCAAAAAAAAAAAAAAAAGTCGGCCGATCAATTGAAAATTATTTATTTATTTTTTACTTGAAGGGTCCGGACGTTTCGGCGAACGACCGGCCGAATATCCGGTCATACCCCCACGGCACTTCCCCACGTCTCCTTTCTCTCTCGCTAGCTAAAACGCTTGCTACAGTTAACACATATGTTAACGCACAATACTAACAACTGACACTAACACATAAATTAACAACTTCATTGCAACACAAAACAGTGTTTTGAGCTAGCGAAAAATTAACAATTCACACTAACGCAGCATTTTGCTAGTCCATTGCTAATGCTCCAAGTAGAAAATGCTTCAAAATAGTATTGAGGCTCAAATAAAGAACAATCTTGGCTTTGTTTATCTCATGAATGATCTTTGATTGGCTTCTCCTTGAGTCATTCTCATTGCATGCTCAGTTGGTCTCAATTTCTCTATAGTCTTTAAATGCTTAAGAGCTTATCAAGCAAAGCATGATGGAACGAATTTGGTTATTTCATGAACAATCTGGACTAAAGCTCGAATTGATAATATTTATAGTTTGTTATTTTTCATTTATAGAAAATAAGAAACATATTTATATTTGTTTTTACTGAATGTAAATAAGAGCAAGTTAGTCATTTGATTCCTACCTTTAAAAAAAGGACTCCGTTTGTTTTGGGAGATAGAATGGAGGGGATTGATAGTGAGGGGATTAATAGTGAGGGGATTGATAGTGAAGGGATTAATAATGAGGAATTGTTAAATTATTTTTATATAAAATAATAAAAAAATAAAAATATATAAAAAATTAAACATTATATTTTAAAAAAAATTCCCAATATATAAAAAATAAAAAAATTTCTAATCCCCTCACTATCTTCTAATACCATCTTTACCTCCTCCTTACCAATCCTCCTTCCAAGGGTATTAGTAATACCAAGGGACTAATAGTCCCAAGGCTATCTCTGCAAACAAACAAGGGCATTAGTAATACATTGGTATTACTAGTCCCAATACCCACCCTATAGCCTAAAACAAACGGGGTCTTAGATTCTCTCCAGTCCACTGTTTAAGCCCATGAGGCTCATCACGAGTCCTATTTCGATAATTCGAACTATTGAATATGTAGAGTTTGTTGAGTATTTCATTTTTGCAAAAAAACACATTAATTGGATATTGATAACTACTTGATCGGATTAAACAGTTTGGCTACCCGACTGGGGGTTGGTCGGAAACCCCTTCGACTGTCGAGTCAGTACCGGAATTTGGTAAAGACAAGATAGAGAAGGCCAGTGTGTTTCTAGAGTCAAGAGATCGCCTCCTCTCAAGGAGAGTAAGATTACCTTTTATAAGGATTGTATGACTTGTTCATCAAGCCCCCGTGTTCGCTGTCTCTTCCTCAGCCGTCATGGTCTTCCATCCCTCGATTGAGTAGGGTTACCTTTTAACACTCATATGTCATGGAGTGGGAGCCTTGGAGCCCAAGTTATGGACTAACCCACTTCAGAGTGAGAAGGGGTGTTAGGGCCAGGCCCATGGTCTTCCACTCTTTGGAGTGGGGAGTGGGCCAAGACCCTTAGTTCGGCCCATCATAGAGTGGGAAAGAGGGCCCACTTCGGAGTGGGGACCTTCGTCTAGCCCAACTAGGTTTCATGTAAATAGGCTTGAATAATTGTGTCCCTTCATTTACCTTTTGACTTGCACTGAAATTTAGCGCCATTTTGGGAACATGGTAAAAAGCCACGTTTTTGGACAAAATGTCAAAAAACGTGGCTGCCAAAAACGCCAAAAAAGCCATTTGGCAAGTGCTAAAAACGTAGCCCTAAAATTACAAATTAGGGCCTATGAAAAATAAATAAAAAAATAACTCTCTTATGTTGGGTAAGGGTATTTTGGTCATTTTAATTTGATTTGACACCATAAATAAATATTAAACTAAAAAGCAAAAAGTCAGCTTTTTACTAACTTCCCAAATCACTTCCAAAAAAGCCAAAAAGCTTAGTAAAAAGCCAAAAACTAGCTTTTTACCAACTTCCCAAAACAACCCTTATTGAGTAGAAGCTATTATTGTATCTCGGCCAATTTGTTCAAAGTGTAATCTGACCTTCAAATTTAATTTTATTTTTTTTTAATAGACATCTTAGCCCACTCAAAGATTTTGATTTGGCATGAAATTTTGTCCTGACTGCCACTTTTGGTCTTGGAATTGCAATGTTTATAAATTCAAATGCTTGAATTTGCGTAAACTAGTTAGGTGGGCCCCGAATTCCATCAAACTCCTTATTTATTTATTTGTTTGGCCTTGTGTACATAGACTCCAGCTTTTTCTTTAAAACAAATACCTCTTAAATATGAGAAAAGTTAAGAATTATGAAAAAAATTTTATGAAAATGATTATGAAAGAATTATAACTCTTGAATTACCTTGATTAGTGTGTGGTGCTTTATTTTAAGTGTAATTCAAAGGTCATAAATCCTTCATGATTATTTTCATAAAATTTTTTTGATGATACCTAATATTGCTCCTTAAATATTACCTAGGGCCCGCCACTTTGACTTGTTTGGCTTGATTGTTGGGCATGCTGTATGCAAAGCATCTTTGTGGTTCCAACTTTTATTTAGCTTCATGCTCGGTCATTTCTTTGGCCCATTGCACGTGGCCTTCGTAGTGTAGCTGGGCTCTGACTTCATTCGTTGGAGGTCTGCCTTCTGATATTTGTTCTGCCTTCGCCCATTATCTGATTTATTCACTTGTTCGGCCCTCGCTCTGAACAAAAGAAAACAAAATGTCTTAAATGTTTGCATGGCCCAACTTGCATATTATTTTCCAATCTGTGCAGAGCTATTTAGTCAGCCATGTTCGGCCTTCTTGACTTGTCTTAGATGTTGCATTGCTGCTGGGTCGGCCGAACCAAATATTAAATTAAAAATTGATACAGCTCAGTCTTCCACAGATTCACAGTGTAGCTCAGCTCCGACACCATTCGTGTTATCTTCTGTCAAGCAACACGTGGCCTTCTTGTACTGGCCTTTAGATATTCTTTCTCTCTCTAAAAATTTGAACATCACGAACCCAGCTCATTACTTAAAATAGAAAATAAATTTAGAGCTATCTTCTTGGCCTCCCGTTTTCTCTCTCTAGAAACCCAGTTTGTTGGAGCTTCGTGCTATCTTCTAAAGCGCCGCTGCTTTGCTACTGATGATCCTGTATCATTGATTTCCGGCGCTGCTCATTGATTCCAATGGTATTTTCAGTTGGACCGCGACTTTTAACAAGGTACTCTCGTCGTCATTGCTTCGATTTCGGCATTGTGTTCCTCACAGCAAGGTTGCCTTACCGTTGTTTTGTCTCTTGCGGTTTTTCCCGTTGCTGCCCACTATTGTTTCTGGTGATTTTGCTCCGCTCTTGGTAGATTCGTGAGTATCGCATCTCCCATATTTTCCTCTGTTTGTTGTTTGTCTCATTGATAGGGGTGTTTTCCATTGATTGCAGCAGAATGTTTACTTGCCCAGGCTACCGCTCGTTCACTTGAAACGGCACTGTAAGTTCCTATAATCTGTTGCCTTTTTGTTGTTTTCAAAGTTGTTGGTGACAATTTGTTGTTTGCTTTGACCTTTTGATCCAATAAAGCTACTTTTGGTATTTTCAATTCCATGAACCCACATTTTCATTTTGAAAAAAGGTAGGGGTCATAAAAATTTTTTTATGAAAATGACCGTAAAAGATTTGTAATTTTTGAATTATCTTGATTAATGTATGGTACTTTATTTTAAATGTAATCTAAGGGTTATAAATCTTTCATGATCATTTTTATGAAAATTTTTCCATGATACCTAGCATTGCTCTTTCATTTTTGATTTGTGAGATGGTAATTCCCTTTTGGCTGTCCGATCATATTAAAACATGTGTCTCTGTAGTGGGTTTGCTCCTCCATTTTCAATTTGATTTTAATATTCTCTCATTGACGTGGACAAATGTGATTCTGATGCTACTTCGATAACTCTCTGTCAACAGGTTTGGTCTTGCTATTGTGGGTTTTGCGCAAAAGATTTTGTTCTCTCTGTGGCCATCCTTGCTTCGCAGTTAATGGCATTGGTTCAGTGCTGTAAGTCACCAAGCTCGTTTTACTTAGTTCCTTCTCTCCTTTTGCACCTCGGTTGCTTGTGGTAATTTTGTTGTTGGACATGCCCCCGTGTTGTTTGGTTGGTTCTTCGCTTGTTTCGAACCCCTGATTCTATCAAATGGGTAAGTTTAAGAATCTAGTGAACACACCTGTAGATACCCCATTTTTGACTGCCCTTACGACTTGGGCGCCGTAGGTTGATTGCTCGAGGGTGAAGGTTATATTGTGCAAAGGTTTGATTTCTTCGGTAAGAGGAGCTTCAAATCCCTACCTTACACCCCATTTTGGACCACAACTATTTTGACCAAAATGATTTTAGACCTTAAAACCCTCTCTTTCAAAATATTTTTGAAAATTCTTCTATGATGTTCCGAGGCTCACATTTCGTTAAATGTTGTGCTTTTCGGTAAACCGAGCAAGGACAAAGTGGAAATAAATGAAAAAGAGGTGAACTCTTTGAAAAAATCTTTAAAACATCTTGTTTAGAGGTTTGGAGTTGAAGAAAATTAGAAAAGGAGGAAGACTTTCGGGGCTTCAATTTAGACTCAAGAATAACTTGCAAAGGAGTCCGAATGAAAGAGATATGTCCATTTGAAGTTGGATCTGGAGAGCAGATTTTTCTGGCTGACCACTGATGGAGTGTGTTGGCCATGAATGGAGCTTGTCGGCCATGTGTTGGCCAGAGGTGCATTTTGTCGGCCACCGGTGATAACCGGTCGGCCACTTGTGTCCAAAATGCAGTTTTTGTGCAGATATTTTCCCTCCAGTTGTTCTACACTGATCCAGTTGTCCCATTTTGAGATATTTTCAACCTGAGCTCTCATTTTTCTATATATAGAGGACCTTTTCTATTTTTTTCAAGGTTTGAAATTTTGGGAGCCTCTCTCTCTACAATCCTCTCTCTACAATTCTCTCTCTCTCTAGATTTCTCTCTATCTTGAACCTTTGTGCATACAAGTAGAGATATACTTCTAGTTTGCCTATCAGCCCTTAATTAAACTTGACCATTTTAGGCTGAGGTCTCTTGGAGTCTTGTTTGAGCACTAGAAGGAGGTTTGAGCTTGGATTTGTGCCTAAGTGGTGCTTTGCTTCAAAGGTATAACGCTTACCTTATTTAAGCTTGCTTTGAACAATTGTTTTGCCATCTTTTCAAACTATTTTTGGCCTAGTTTTCAACTATAAAAACCTTTGTTTTATGACCTAAAAATGGTGGTTTGAGGCTACTTTTTTGAGTTAGGGGGTGGTCCACCCTTCTTGTCTCTTTGCTTGTTAAGATTTTGTACCTTTTTTCATCACTTTCAAAACCAACTTTTTGGGGCCTTTTAACCACTGAATTTCAGAGGTTTTTCAGTGGTAAAAACCTTGTTTTGAAGTCCAAAATTGGAGGGGTTAGCCTCCCCTCCTTGTGTCTTGTTTGCATGCCTAGATAACTTCATATGTTAGCATGTTTTTCCAGCTTAATTTAGCTTAAGTCCAGTATGTTTTTGCCTTTGAAATAACCTGTTTTGGCTCTGTTTTGGGATGGTCAGTTCAGTTGAGGCTTGTATTGCATAGTTGTAGTGTTAATTCCTTCACTAGCTTGATGTTTTAATGTTTTAATCATCATTCTTTTGAGTTAATAGCATGTTTTAGTATTGTTTTGCACTTCATTTCAACACTTAAAATCTCTGCAACCTCTCTTTTTGCTTCACTCTTTTATTTTCTTTTGAGAGTTGTTTCAAACTTGGGATCCTTTAAGCTTAAGATTGAGGTTATGCTTAATGGTTTAATCCTCTTTGAGGGTTCATTACCAACGGCATGATCTCTCTCATGCCTTAAATTACCCCTTGCTTGACACTTCTTTCCTTTAGAAGGCACTCACCAATGGACTAATCGATTAAAGAATGAATCAGTTATGTAAAATGAGTAAACAAAACGAACAAGTAAAAAAAGGCAAGATAAGCATCTTTTGTGTTGCATTACATATGTTTGAATCGAATGTTAATTCGAACGTAAGGAAAATGGGACATTTCATACTCAAAAGTGATGAAATGTGCCACTTTCCTTAGTCACCATCACCCTTGATCATGCATGATAGGGTAGTGGTCTTTTGAGTCTTGTTTTGCACTCATTAACTTGTACAAACTTGGTTCTTTGGCTATCATACATGGAAATTGCTTGATTGGTGGTTTGAGAGCCAAAAGTTACACTCATTTGAGCTTGTTTGATGATAAGGAGGGTAACAATACAAACAACCCTCGAGAATACATTGCGTTGCCTCTGTTTGCTCTTTGTTGGAGCAAAAGGAAGTTCAGGACAGCAGTGGCCGACCGGCCACCAACAGTAGCTGATCGGCCACCAATGGTAGCCGACGACCACCATTGGTAGCCGACCGGCCATCAATGAAATTTGCACAGTATGTTGGTAAGGTAGAGTAGAGGCATTCTGGGAGTTAGCAGTATTGTTGGTGTTCAAATGTGCAAACAGAGGCGTTCAATGGCAAGGCGGTGGCTTTTCGGGTGGGGAAACCGAGCATGCATGCATCCCTCACTTTCCGAGGCCATTTAATTGCTTTGTTTAGTTAATTAGCAGTAGCTAATTCTTGCAAGTGATATAATTATTTATGTAGATTAGTTAGTTAATTCATGTTGTAATTAATTAGCTTAGTCGCTTTTATATTGTAATATTTAATTAGCTTAGAGTAGTTAGTTAAATATTGTGTTGTAATAATTAGCTTAGCTATATTAGCATAGCTAGTTAGTTAGCTTATTCATTCGGACCCCTCTTTGCGAGGGCATAATGTTGTAATAAGTGTGCGTGCGTGTGTGCATGTCTTCCAACCCCACGTCTTTCTCTCTTTTATTTAATCGCTTTTGATGGTTAGATTAGGGACATGTTTCAATTAGCATGGTGTAGACACCCTATTTTTGACCGCCCTTAAAACTTGGGCGCTACTAATTGTTTACTTGGTGATGAAAGATGTGCAGTGCAAAGATTCAATTTCTTCGGCAAGAGAAGCTTCAAATCCCAACATCACACCCCTTTTTGGACCAAAGCCTGTTGACTAAAATGTTTTTTAGACCTTAAAACCCTCTCTTTCAAAATATTTTTTGAAAATGATTCTACGATGTTCTGAGGCTTGCATTTCGTTAAATGTTGCGCTTTTCGATAAATCGAGCAAGGACAAAGTAGAAATGAATGAAAGGGCGGTGAACTCTTTGAAAAAAATATTTAAAACATCTTGTTTAGAGGTTTGGAGTTGAAGAAAATTGGAGGAGAGAGGAGAAATCTAGTTGGGAGAAGAAGATAGGCATGAACCGTTAAGAGAGAGAGTCGAGCATCCCTCGCTAAATCAAGCCAATCCGTTTATACACTTGGATTTTAGCTATGAGGCCACCACTGTTGGAAAGTGGACTTCATGGGATTCATTTTGCACTCAAGAATCTCCTAAAGCCGAGGTCAGATGAGGGAGATATGGTTGGTTGAAGTTAGGTATCAATCCGATTGAGCTGAAATTGAGCAGTCTTCACTAAAAGAGGCATATCTCTTAGTACACTTGAAATTGTGATGTGAGGCTACCACCATTGGAAAGACGACTTTCGGGGCTTCAGTTTAGGCACAAGAATTACCTGAAAAAAAGTTCAGATGAAGGAGATATGTCCATTTGAAGTTGGACCTGGAGAGTAGATTTTTGATGTCGGCCACCAACAGTGGCCGGTCGGCCACTAATGTCCCAAACTCAGATATTTTGCAGATATTTCTTCTCCAGCTATTTTCACATTGCTCCAGCTGTCCTAATTTAGATATTTCGACCTGAGGCTTGTACATTGCTATATATGGAGGTCATATCTCTCATATTGGAGGGTTAGAAAATTTTGGGAGCCTCTCTCTCTAAAATCTCTCTCTCTACAATCCTCTCTCTCTAAAATTTCTCTCTCTCTTGAGCTTTTGTGCTTAGAAGCTTGTATACTTCCAACTTTAACCTATCAACCCTTAACCAAAGTGGTTCATCTTTGGGCTGAGGTTGCTTGAAGCTCTCTTAGAGCTTCCTTTGAGCTCTAGAAGGTGGTTTAAGCTCAGATTTGTGCCTGTTTTGGTGTTGTGCTTCAAGAGTTATAAGACTCACCTTGTAAGCCTTGTTTTAGCTACTCATTTTGCCAGCCGAACTTTGACCCACTTCCGCCAGCTGAAGATTTGCAGGGTCTAGATCCCCGAGAAAGGTTGGCTCAAGCTCAGGTTTTCAGACCCCTTGTGCAGCCTAATGAGAGGCTTTATCCCCTTGATATTAATGAGCTCGACCCGACCTCATTAAAATTTGCTAACCTTGATAAGCAATTCAAAAAGGCACAGGGCCTTAACTCCATTTTTGACATTGAGGATGGGTACACCGAGGCTGCCGTACAGCTCCCAGGCAGATTCAAAATGCCACACATTGACCATTTTGACAGGTCTGGAGATCCTATGGTGCATATCCGGCTTTTCTTGGATGTTTAGAAACCGATGGGTCTGACAAAGCCGTAGAAACTCTCTCTGTATGAAAGAACCCTGTTGGGCATAGCAGCCACTTGGTATGCCAAGTTGGAGGATACAGTGAAGCTGAACTAGGAAGAGTTGGCTGAGGCCTTTATCGATCACTATTCTTACAATACCCAAGTTGAAATGACCACCCAAGAGCTTGAAGCAACCCACCAGAATCTTGCAGAGTCTTTTGTGGAATTTGTTGCAAGGTGGAGAGCAAAGGCAGAACAGATGACAGATCAGCCTTCTGAGAGGGATCAAGTGCGGATAGTGGTGCAGAATCTTGAGCTTGATATGTTACAAAAGTTAATAGTGGCTCCACTGTTCACTTTCAAAAGTTTGCATGAATTAGGGGTTTAGATCGAAAATGCCTTCAACAGAGGGATTATTTCCAGAACAAGTGAACCGGCAAGGAGGGTGATTCTCGGGAATATCAATGCTGGCGGTAGCGCTATTCCTAAACCCACTGAAATTAACACAATCGCCACAGCTGACCCTTTTTCCAAACCAAGCCTACAAACAGCCGACCTAACCCGAGCTCAGGGCAGAACTTTTACCGCCCTCTTTATGAGCCTAACCAGCGCACTAAAAGTCCTGATTAAAAGAGGGTATCTCAAACTCCTTGATCCTCAACCTCTGCCTGACCCATTCCCTACCAAGCATAACCCTATTAAATACTACGTGTATCATCAACAGCACGGTCATGGCACCGATCGTTGCTACCGTCTTCATCACGAGGTCCAGAATCTCATCAATAACCGGACGATAGCTCCACCTCTAGACACCAATGACCAAATATCTCCTGCCT